CACACAATTTTTCGTTTTTCTTTAATCTCTATTTTTTCCAATTCAACTGTAAACCCATAAAACAAACAATGCATACATTCAAAACTATAAAATCGATCAATCAGATACTATCATGCATTCATACTTTAAAAACAATCAACAGAAGCAACAGTAAATAATTTTCGATTCTAGCTCCATTAGTAACTCGTATTTAATTATGAATATTTCCTAAATTGTACAAAACACTGTATTATTATTAATTTAACTTCAGTTCCATAACAGAGAATATGGTGAGGCATTCTCATTCAATTCGATGCCTGAAAAGTAAAACTTATTGACTGCGCCTACCGACGATCCCCGAATTCTCTGAATTTTTCTTCAGGGATTAAAACACACTACAAGTAGCTACAGATATCCCAAAAAACCCAAAAACAATGTGAGGACCCCTTTTTGGCTAATTTTGGAATTCTGTGCTCCGGCGGCGGTCGGGCTCAGGTTGGCTATTTTCAACTGGTTTTGCATCAATTCCTACGAGAAAATACGTTAAGGGGGCTTGGTTGGCAAAAAAAAAAAATTGAAACTCACCAGCGGCGGGGCTCTCCGATGCGGCGGCTCTGCCAGCTCACTTTTGCGGTTAGGTATTTGCTTCGGTCAACATGTAAAGAAGAAAAAAGTGATTACAATGGTGGAAAAATTTCACAGAACGGGAATCGGGAAGGGACTCATCAGAGGCAGTTTTTGAAATTTCTCGCGGCGGCGGCGCCAGACTTTACCCGCGGTTTTCGGCTAATCTGTCAGTTTTTTGGCTCCAATTTGGCCATGGGGATGTTTAAAATTGAATTCCAAGAATAGGAAATTTTTTTTACCTCTTTTGGTAGTCGGAAGTGGTTCTGGCACGACGACGGGTGGTGGCGGCTCTCCTTCCCAGCGGCTGGGTCTTTTTCTTCGGTGAGGTATCCAGTGGCTAGGGTTAGGGTTTGATGTGAAGAGGGTTATTTACACCCGTCCCCTTTTAATTTGGGCTGTCCATCGTATTTGATCTGGACCATCCGATCGCGATTAAATAAGAAGTAGATCTGGACCGTTGATCGAATTTAATTTTGACCATTTGATCGCGTTTGGGTAGTGCACCAATATGAGCCGTCCGCGCACACGGGGGCGGATCTGAACCATCCGATTGTAGGCACGTAGATTGCTCGTGTGGCACCGCGTTAGTGTCCTTTGCCACGCGGCGCATTTTGGTTTGTCGGGGCTGCTGATTGGGCATCCTACGTAGCACAACTTTTCTATATTACGTTTTGACTTCAAGTTTTTGTTTTGTTTTAAAAAATACCCATAGAATCCAAATTTTTACCCATTTTTCCCAAAATTATTTTCAATTTCATCCCCCTCCTATTTTCCTTCATTTTTTCATTAAATTAAAATTCAAAAAATTCAAAAATTATATTTATAAATTAATTTGGGTATTACAACTCTCCCTCCATTCTTAAAAAAAATTTAGTCCCTCAAATTTGTCTCTCTTTCACTCAATTAAATAGTTGGAGGGTGTTGGGCTCTGAAGTCTGATTCTAGTTCTCATGTGGCTTCTCTCGGTGTGTGATTCTACCATAGGACATTGACAAAGAGAATTTCCTGGTTGCAGAGTAATCTGCACTTTCAGTCCATAATATCGACCGGTACTTCCTCGTAGGAAAGATCCTCTTAGAGTGAAAGAGACTCGTGGGCCAAGAAGTGAGAGGGGTCCGGGTTATACTTGTGTAGCATGGACACATGAAACACATTATGGACCCTAGAAAGTTCTGGAGGTAGTGCCAGCCAGTAGGCGGCGGTACCAATTCTGTCTAAGATTGCAAATGGCCCAATAAACTAGAGATTCAACTTCCCCCTCTTGCCGAACCTACGAATTTCTTTGAAAGATGTGACTTTAAGGAACACCCGATCGCCTTTCTCAAATTCTAAATCTCTCATCCGGGTGTCCCCATAACTCTTCTGTCTGCTCTGAGCCGTTTGAATGTTCTTCCTGATCTTAACTATTTTGTCTGTAGTCTCCTCTACGAGATCTGGGCCGAACAGTTTCCTATCACCCAATTCTTCCCAACATATTAGCGACCTGCATGGGCAGCCGTACAATGCCTCATACAGAGGCATGTCAATACTTGTTTGGTAGCTGTTGTTATAGACAAAATCTATCAGGGATAGATAGTCATTCCAATGGCCCCCGAAGTTAAGGACACAAGCTCGAAGCATATTCTCAAGTGTGCTGATTGTTCTTTCTAACCGTCTATTGGTTTGAGGGTAAAATGCAGTACTAATGGGTAGTTTCATTTCCTCGACTTGCTGAAAGCTAGAAGAGAATCGAGAAGTGAACATGGGGTCTCTGTCGGATACTACTATCACTAGTATTCCATATAATCTGACTATCTCCC